CTTTTGACCCAAAGAACAACCATTGATCGCGTCATTAACGATACATTGCTTCCTGTATGTTCGCCTCTTTCTAGAGGCCTTAAGTGCATATGATATCTACTCAGTTGATGCATTTTCCCACAGGTATCATTTCTTGGCAGATGAGATAATGGATCATAATGACAAATGAGGCTTCGGCAATGGAAATAATGGACTTACTGGCATCAGACTTTTTCTGGGTCATTCCACAAAAAGTTAATATTCGAGTCAAGACACTGACACACATAGTGTGCAATATTTGCACAACTGTTTTATATCACTTTTAATTAGTGTAGATTTTTAAAAAGCAAAGTAAAAATGCCTTATAGTCTAAAAGTCAGAATTATGCAAAAATTATACAAAACGTTTTTAGCACTGACGTGACTCAAGTGATGTTTTTGGGGGGATGACACATCTGCCTATACCAATATCACTTTAAATTGTGTTCGTTTCGGCTATGCACGTGACCTATTTTGTTTACCGCACAAGTGTTCCGGCGTTATACAATTTATCAGTGAATGCCAAGCTGTACAAAATGTCTTTACATTAAAAGGATGGTATACATACTGTACCAACGTGCTGCATGATCACGAAATTTCTACCTCCATCATGGATTTCCAGTCGACATTAAAAATAATACGGAAGGTATAGAAAAGGGTAAGTAAGAAGCGCCGCAGATTATAACAGAATAAGTATTATTGTATATACCTGCCGTGAGTATTATATATAGTATTATATCTGCACGTCCACGATACTGGGTAACAACAATGGGACATGGGCATCAAAATTTCAACATGCCGCCGATCATGTGAGCACGCTTTCCGCTTAGAATATGTATGATAGATTTGCGTTATATTCATAAATTTAGGAAAATATAATATTAAACATAAAAAATTATCAGGGAAGAGTACACTAAACTTTAAAGAGTTTGGATAGCACGATGCGAGCGATCCTGAATCGGCAGTAAAACAGCGATGTCATGAAATCGCCTGTCGTAATTTAAGTAGCCTCAATAAATATTCATGTGACCGGGTCATTTCGTCTCAATGGAAATTCCCACTACGTACGCTTGGTCACTGGGTCGAATCTGAATGGGGAAACGAATCTACACGCTAGTTATGGTTTCGCTCTCGTGCGTTTCTGAAGGAAAGGAAACAAGATTGGGTTAAAAAATCTGAGATTATACACGCTCTTATGAAAGGGTTTCCTTACACCTTATTGTTTTATGAAAAGCAGAGTGTACTTCAGGTATTCAAATCCCGAAAGTGAACGGTTTGTAAAGTTCACGTGTATGGGAGATCATACTTCATGCTGAAATTGAAAACGGAAACGATGGTAACCCGTTTACTTCACCTATCAAAATTTGCGACAAATAATAATTTTTGTATTTCTCTAGTGTGTATGCCATAAATGATCCATGAGATGACCCCCAAAATCAAACCAACAATTAAACAAACAAACAAACAAAAAAACATGATAATATTATTCTGAGATCTTTCTTTTCTAAAATGTACAGCTGCAAAACAAACTGATATGACTGTGTCCCAGATTTAAGCGCTATTTGAGTGTCACACTCGGTTAAGAATATACGAAAGCATTTCGAAAATTTTAAATGGCTGTCAACATTGGTGACAAATCTTGGACTGATTATCTTAGATTTTGCCATCTTCAATTATACTGTAGCAGTTCTTCATCGCCGTTTAGACCCTGACTATTATTTTCTTTGGTGTTCAATGCACCTAGTCGAACATATGGAAAATGAAATGTTATTCAGTCTGTAAAACGGTATCAAAACGGCAATGAAGAACAGTTAGGTGAACAGTTAACTGAAGTCCAGTTTCAGCTTTTATTTCGATAGCGATAGGGGCGAGTGCAAAAAAAAAAACATTGTTCCACCCATGCACAGCTCTAGATAATAACATTTGTCTGTTATTTACCTCTTTTTAGACAGAGGTGTTGGGGAACAATGAATGTTGCTTCGCACTCTCTCCTGATATTGTCATGATGAAGCGTGTATTCATCCATGAATTCACGTTTTGCATACGGAGTGAAGTATCTGTTGAGAATGTTACGGCAATTGGTCCCATTAACGCTCTGTGTTGGAATTAAAGATCTTCAAAAACAATAGGCAAGGAATGCACCCCAAACACGGACTGACCTGCAACCGGCACATTAGACGACATTTCCCTGCACACACTCTGCCAAAAGGCATCCCAAATATCTGTGTGTGGTGGATTTGGGGGGGGGGGGAGGTCAGGGGGTCCTGACCCCCTTCGATTTCTGATAAAAAGGCACCAAAAAACTTCTAGCTGAATCATAGTTCTAAGCCATATCAAAGGGCGCTATAAGCTCTCCAAAACACCAATTTTTTTTCAGAGCCCTCGAGCGTGCCCCGAACCTAACGTCAAGCTTCGGCCTCTCAATCCGAGGCCTGTCAATTCCTAAAAAAAATAAACGCCCCCCCCCCCTTCAAAAATCATGGAGCCGCCCCTGTTGGACACCGTGTACACCATCTTTCAAACTGTCCCATTGTGACTGTTGGTCAGTTATTTGGTATATTTAAGTGAAAAATACCCAATGTAAAGCATACTATGTATATATGAAAACAACGTGTAGGTTGTTTTGGGTATTGCTACTTAACATATTTTCGGTTTGGGAGTTCAACTTCCTTGATTTCGGTTTATTCCACTTGCAAACCATTGTTTGCTGAACAAAAAATCTTTCAACTGACGTAACGTTTCGTGTCGTAAATCCAAGCATCAAACTGCAGTTTAAGGGTCGAGTGTAAAACTATTGAGAGGAATAGACCACGACCAAAATTGAGTAATTTTACAGCCGAGCAAATAATAAAAAGCACTTTCTCCTGATCTGCACTCAGCATCAACGTGACCGTAAAAAAATGTTTGATTCCCTGTCACTATTCTCTGGTCTATCAGGCACTGATGATGATAGCAAAATAATACAAATTCTCAATCCGCAGTGTCATGCAAGTGCATCAGCAGTGGCCAAGTTTATACAGGCAGTTATGCCTAAGTAGCAAATGCATATTGTACAAAATGCTATATCCAGTATTAAAAAATTGTCTTACTATTGTGAGCTATATGTATGAAGTAGTTAGCTTATATGTATTTTGGTATTTGAATGATCTAAAGTAGTTATACTTATTTAAGCTTATATGCACAATTTATGTAAAACTGTAGTTTAGAGAGCTTGTAAAATGTAACTGAACACATTTTAATGCTCAATAAATTATTATTATAATAATATTAGTTTAATTATGCAGAAACATCCATCGCTGATGGAGGCCTTAATAGTGTTTTCCTCGAAGCCAAGAAATCTCGTCTAGCTGAGAGTAGAGCCCTTCACATACCCTACAACGCGTTTTTTCCGAAAATCCCAAATGACTAGAAAAGTTGTGTCCAATCACTTAATGTTGAAGGATCTACTGGACTGGGAAATGGAAAAGTGTATATAACTTACATTCGAAGAAGGCAAAAGTTCCCCCAAGAACAGCAAAAAACATCACCACGCAGAGCAAGAAAGTCAGGTAAAATGGCTTCATCATGAAATCTGAAAAACATAACACACTGAGTTACATTATATCTCTGAGAGATAAACGTACAGCAATGACAATTCTTCTAGTTCCACATTCTATACATGAAACACTATAACCTGCACGTGGAAAAGAATAATATAAAAATTGAAATGAGAGTGACATCGGGGACAACAAACAGACTGTAAAGGCACTTTCAAAGAAATCAACGGTGTTTGCGACAATTCCCCAGCTGGTTATTGCATCATAACCAGAACACACTGTAGGAACCAAATGAATAACTCTTTGCAATACATTCCAATTTCAATGAACTATGACTTGTCTAAAAGTAACACGATACGGCGTTATACATGAGTTGCTACATCAATGAATAAACTGGTAGATATTGATGAGGTTTGAATTATTCTTGTCTGGTGCCAATGGATGCAATAAATGCATATGCTGAGATCATTATTTTAATAAAAATACTTAAAATACAATAACTTACTGCAAATAATTGCAAGAGATTGCAAGACCGAGACTAACCTTATGGCGCTGGTTCGGAAATAGGAAAATCCCTAATGCAGTTAGACGCTCTGATTTATACCAGGATTAAGGCCACATCTAGCATTCTAATTGATGGACGGCTTCACCAATAGATAAAACAAGGCTTGATGCGTCATCCGAACACCAACTTACAATTAATTCATTTTTTAATGAACTTGTTTTTATAGTTGATAAAAGAAATAATTTAAAGAATTAGTGATACCTAATAGAAATAGTAACTTTATAGTGCAATGCATACTTGCATAGTTAATAATTAGGCCTGAATGAAGATAAAACATTATAGTCAAGCATAGTTTTTGGAGGAATATTGCTTGGTTTTTTTTTTTTTTTTTTTTTTTTTAACATAAAGGTATGTATGACCCCAATAATACATATCTAGAGGAAGCATGCGTGTAATCCGCGTGTTATCCTCCAGATATAAATTGTTGCTCACACCATCGATGATGTCTTTTTCGTGTTAGGGTTTTAAAGCTCTGTGTTTGATTTTTTGATTTTTTAGGCGAGCGGAAGAACGCTTAATTACCTTGAATAGCGGACATATATTGTACCATACAAACGCTTCAAATGGCCAACAAGCAGTTGGATTTCTGATACATAAGGCGCTAAGCAAGAACATCATCGAGGTAAAGCAAATTAGCGCAAGGGTGGCTACAGTCAAGCTCAAAGTGAATCAGAGATTCTCAATGAAACTTATTCAGGTATATGCACCAACATCAAGCAGACCAGATGAAGAAGTAGAAGGAAGGACAGACAGAAATGCCTGTCAAATCCATCAAAGAGACCTAGTATCGAGCAACTGGTCATAAAGAAAGAAGAGTTCCAAATCCTCCTAACAAACAGATTCAGTGCACTAGAGCTAGAAGGTGAAGATGGAGTAGATGAAATGAACGATAGAATAACGACCACCATCCTAGAATGTGCATCAGAAGTCGCACCGGCCAGTAAAATGAAGGACTCAAAGCTCTCAACAGAAACGAGGATTCTCATGAAGAAAAGACGAATGATGAAGAAAACGGAGGTAAACAACAACAGGGACATCAGAAACAACATCGAATATGCAGAACTGGATAAGACCATCAAGAAGAAGGCAAGGGAAGACATCAGGAAGCAGAACATGAAGAAGATAGCAGAGACCATCGAAAATGGAAAGAGCATGAAAAGAGCAAAGAGATCCTTTCAACTAGGGCAGGATAGAATGCTGACTCTTCTAGACAAAGATGAAAATGAGCTCACCACACAAGACCAGATATTAGAACGAGTAGAAGAATTCAATGGAGAGCTGTATGACAGCAACAAGGGAATAGAAATCTCAACAAAGGCATGCGATCTACCAGCATAACAGCAGTCCAGAAAATGAAGAACGGAAAGGCAGCAGGAAATGACAACATCAAAGCAGAAATGGTAAAAGCAGGAGGAGATATCCTATCTCAGGAATTAGCCAGGCTCTTCACAAAGTGCTTACATCTGAAGGAAATTCCTGTAGCATGGAAGAACGCCAACATGATCATAATGTTCAAAAAGGGCAATAGGAAAGACATCAAGAATTACAGACCCATCTGCCTACTTTCTAATTTGTACAAGATTTACACCAAAATATTGACCGAAAGGCTATCAAGACAACTAGATGAAACGCAGCCAAAGGAACAGGCAGGTTTCAGAGGCCAGTGCACCACTACTGATCATATGCACACTGTCAACCAGCTCAAAGAGAAATGTCTCGAGTATAACATTCCACTGTGTGTAGCATTCGTTGATTATGAAAAAGCCTTCGACTCAGTAGAAACCCAGTATATACTGGTATCCCTGCAAGATCTAGGGATCGAAGATGGATACGTAGACGTCCTCAGAGACATATACACCGATAGCTCTGTAACAGTCAAACTACACAAGACCACCAACAAGATCAGGATCAAGAAAGGTGTACGCCAAGGAGATACAATCTCTCCTAAACTGTTCACAGCAGCATTGGAACGTATATTCAGGTATCTTGACTGGCAGGACAAGGGCATAAACATAGACGGTACCAGGCTCAATCACCTTAGGTTTGCAGACGACATCATAATAGTAGCAGGTGATGCAAAAGACCTCAGAGAAATGCTACAGGCGTTAGCAGATGTAAGCGCAAAAAGTGGGCTAAAGATGAAAACCAGCAAGACAAAGGTGATGTTTGGACCACTAACCACCCCTTGTACATGTACAGTGAAAGTCAACACCAAAGAGATAGAAGCAGTGGAAGAGTATATATACCTTGGGCAACGGTTCAGCCTTAGTGATCGAACACTGGAGAAAGAAATCCAACAAAGGATAAAAGCAAGATGGGCAGCATATGGGAAGCACAATGTCATCTTCAAGAGCAACCTTCCTACCTGCCTGAAAAAGAAAGTGTTCAATGCTTGTGTGCTGCCGGCAATCACCTATGGTTCAGAGACCTGGGCACTGAATGCCTCCATGGAACACAAGCTACAAGTAGCTCAGAGAAAGATGGAAAGAATTATGTTGAACATCAATCCAAGAGAGCGGAAAACGAATG